TATGCGTTTTACCCTGACTTGACACTTCAAAGTCGCTCTCCCGTATTAGCCGACCAGGGCGTAACTGTATTAGGGACATACCCACCCGGCATGGACTCCCACTGTTAGGGTCCTACCTGTTTGTTAAGAGCCTGACCCACCCTTCCTGCCCCTTCTCATCCTTTCAATGGGTCAAGATGGATCGACGCGAGGAATACCGTGACGACCTGAGCAGTGCCCATAGTTACAGAGAGAGTCAATGGAATTCACCTCCTCCTCAGTTCCAGGAGCATGATCAACAATACCCTTCACCGATCGCGTCGCATACCTACACAAGCCAGAGCTCCCCGCCAACTGTGTCACCGCCGCTGCCATACGACCTGGAGCATTCGCGGCACCCTCCACCACCACCACAGAACTACGAAATCTACCAACGAGGGTATGTGTACGACTGATTCTACTCGTTTCCATTCACATCTGCTCATACAACGAGATCTTCAAATTGCTTTTTTCTTCATCTCCTCACACCGTTGTGCATTGTTCTGAGCTTGGTACAGGTACTCGACGGAAAAAGAGACTCCACACAATCAACATGCGCCCACTATCGCCCCAACACCAGACTTCTCAGCACCTCAAGTTGTACCGGGCCAGTTCAGTCTATACCCTCAAGTCGGCCGGCCAATGTCTCCTTCATCACAAGGCGGGACCACCCTCGCCTCGCCTCACGTAAGACCTTATGGGTTCAAGGAGCACGTCGATCCATCTGATGCGCCCGAGAATGCTCCTGAGCCAGTAGTCCCACCGCCAAAGGAGGAAAGGAAATGTGGGTTGAAGAAGCGAACGTTTTTTATCCTTCTCGGAGTCATTATCCTCGCCATCATCGGCCTTGCCCTAGGTCTTGGTTTGGGCCTCGGCCTGCAAAATGATGATTCGTACGTCCTACAAGAATGATGCTAATCACCACCTGTAAGCCCTGACATGCTGACTCTAAATACAGAGACAACTCAGCCGATCCTTTTTGTCGCGAAAACCCAGAATTATGCATTGGCGGCGCTCTTAGCTCCAAGTACGTGTCTACGAAGGGCGCGTTCAACGGCACTGGCATTGCGCTTGCTGGAGAATCGTGGAATCAAGGCCAACGTAAAATCTTCACTCTGTACTTTCAGCACCATACAGGCGACATTCGTTTCATGCAGTACGGCACTGATCAAAAGTGGATTGGTGGCACAAAAGCCCAGACCGTAGCCAGCGGTGTGAAAGACGCATCGCCTATATCCGCTGTGGCCTTTGCGATCAACGCCACACAATATGTCGGTGATATCTTGTTTATCCTTCCATTGATTTCTCACTAACGAGTACAAGACACACATTTTCTACGTGGACCGCAATAATACCATCAGACAAGTAACACAAGACAACGTTACTGACATCTGGCAACCGGGCTCCCTTAATGACCTCAACCTCAAAGCTTTCGACTCACCCACCACGGGCCTGCAAGCATGCTGGAAAGGCAACTTTTACGGCGACGAAGACTACACCAAATTCCCGACCGCCTCTGGCCTCAACAACACCAAGCCGTTTGAAAACTCGCAAGGAATGAATCTCTGGTTCGCAACCGACGACTCGACATTTGCACAATACGCATGGTACAGCGGGCGCCAGGACGACACATGGGTCTCTATCAAGCCATGGGCAGGCTTCAACGGGCACGCAGGCGTAGGCTGTTACTCCTGGGGCGAAGGCACAACCACCTACGCCATGATGGCCAACAAGAACAACGCCGTGGAATTCTGGTGGAAAGACACAAACGTCAGCCTACCCTCGACCGAAACCCACCCCATCAACTCGTGGCAAAACGCCTCCAACGCCGCAATCGGAAACGTCTACCCCATCACTTCCCTCGGCTACACCACCTACTTCTACGCCCAAATGGCCGACCGCACTATCCAGGGCTACAACGTCACGTACGCCGGCGAAAATACTACTTTCGTGGAAGACGAGACGTTTGCGATTACGGATCCTGCGGGGCCCGTCAAAGCGCTCGGAGGCACGCACATGACGGTTACGGCGTACAAAGATACGCATGGCCCCGAACCGTGGGATAGCTTGTATGTGTTTTTTCAGAGGGCGGGAGACGACATTACGGCCTTTACGAGGGGCTTGACGGCAGGGCAGTGGACGGGCGCGCCGTTGAACATACCCGACGAGTGAACAAAAAAAGAAAGAAGAAATGATGTGCAGGCCACATGTTTTTTTTCCTTTAGTTGTATGTATATATTAATGGTTTTGCTTACGGCCTGGATCACGGAATGTGCGCTCTCTTTTTCTGTTTGGTTTTTGTCTCGCTCTTTCGCCCACGGGGGGGTTTTTTTTAGTTTTTTTTTCGGGTTACTAGAGACCTTACACTCTCGTTCCGATACCACTGTCCTGGACTCAACGGCGTAGATTACGATACCTTATTATCAATACGAGCAAAAACATTTGATACATATGTTCAGCGGACAGTGTGAAAACGTGATGAAGAATGTAAAAGACTTTTGATAACTATCACACAAGCAGACTACCCAAGTAGCAGTGCATGATGTTTTTTTTTCACTATCGTCGACGAGTTCATACAAACCTTTCAATGCTTGTCTTTCCAAACGCCCCCACGAGACGCGGTTATTGGCAGGTTTCCTGGAAAGCATGTTGTAAGTGAAGGAGCGGTATACATGTAGATGAGACAATAGGAGAAAGATTTCTCAAAACAAAGAAAGACAAGAGAAAGGCAATATCCCTTTTCCATTAATCCTTAAGCCGCGTACCTGCAATATCCTCTTGCGCATCTCGGAGGAGAAAACTGTGAGGGGAAGCGTTAGCCATGAAGCATTTGCGTCAGGAAATGAAGAAAGAGAAAGACGTACTTGTACCACAAGATGGTCGGCACCACGGTGCCCAAATGCCACAGACTATGAGCATCAATCATACCCTTCCACGGCGGAAAATCCAGCAATTCCAAACTCATCGCCATGACGATCCACGCAACGCAGATACCAGGCCAAACCGCCCATGTGCGCCCAATCTTCTTATACTGCACATAACTGAAGCCACTCCACAGAATATTCGACAAAATCCCCACCGCCACATTTGCAGCCATGTTGTACGTGTAGTCCCACGACCACAGCGATAGATACAAAACATGCAACGTATACAGTACGATACACAGCCCCGTCCACAGGCGTAGCAAGCTCTGCTTCCTGGGCTCCGGGCGATCAAGCCTGAAAACCCGAATCGGCGCAAAGTAAAGCCCATACAGCACATTTGCGCCCGCGGCGAAATAATCCAGCTTCTCCGTGATCCCCGTGTCGCGGGTATGGAAAATCATGCTAAACGTCCAACTCGCCAGTCCCACATAGCCATAAAGCAAGTAGTATTTCCGCAGCGCATACGAGGCAGGGATGCGTTCGCGCAGGCGCGTCATACCCCAGTCATGCGCGAGGTAATTAAATAGCGAGAAGATGACGGAAAACGGTTCTTGGGCCCCGAGGAAACGGTAGAAGGGCCACTTGCCGTGGAATTGGTATACAGGCTGCATATATGGCGGGTCGCGCGCGAGCCGCTGCTGCGTAATGATGTGTTGGCACGTGTAGTCGCATTCCGAGGGGCAGTCCCAGAGGAGGAGGCGGCGGTGAAAGGCTGTCATGCAATATATATACGTTAGCTAAATCCTCTGTTCCAACGGGAAAAAGACAAAGAAGAAGACGAAGTAGAAGTAGAGAATCGAGGAAAGTAAAACATACGTATATCCAGACTCTTTCCCTCTCCACAATTTGCCTCCGTACAGACTCTCACACACTCCCTGAACTCAGGCAAGTGGTCCCCCATAGATGCTCGTGCGACTCCACATAAGAGCGCAACCGTCACCACAGCGACACCAGGCCATTGCATACCCTTTCGCACTTTCATGTTGTTTCGATTTGGGGATTGGAGGGTTTGGTACACACCAACCGGTGATGTATATGTATAGGGAGGGAAGCAACGCAATGCGATAACGACAGGTGGATCTTTGTTTGGGAGTCTGGTAAATCAGGGTCGTTAGAGAGTCGCGTATTATCTGGCGTGTTGGCGTCTGGCGGGTGGAGCGACAGGGTCTTGGCGGTTGAGTCCGGTAACTCCGGGTGCTCTCACTCTTATTTTACCATCCAAAGATATAATTTTTGAAATCTCATAAAATTCCATAATCACCAAGGGCGTATAGCTCAGTGGTAGAGCGCCCGCTTTGCATCACGCAAAATTGCGGGAGGTCTGGATTTCGATCATCCATCCGTCCACAGCTGAGTACCGAGTCCATTGGACTCACCCCTCTTTTTTCTTTTTTTCTCAACATCACTAGCACTATGTATGTTCCTTCTTTGCCCCTCTTTTTGCCCATTGGCATTGACCAGTGAGTATACTCAGACGTCATAGCCCAATCTCAACGTTCCTTTCAAAAAAAAGTTGTTGTAGTGATATCATCACTCTACATAAATTTTTTTTCTTCGTCTTCCCACATCCATAAAACAACATCACACACTGGATAGCCGAAAAAAAAAGATGTAGATTAGTAAAACCCCACTACGTCAACCAACTCTATGCAACATACATTATGGAACGTATATTATGCTCTAAAAGAACAATGTCTAATCACAGCCTGTAAATCTCCAACAGATGGTATAATGTGATTGCACGCTTTTGTCTTCATTTTTCTTCCTATGTGGCTTCCTTCCATGGCACTTTCTTAACACACCATCTAACCAGCTAGCCAAGAGAGTCCTCATTATCATCGTCGTCGTCGTATAACACATGAGGAAAAACACTAGCAGTTATCCACTCAATCCCTCTTACCAAAAAAAAGCCCCGCCCTGAAAACAAGACGTATGAAGGGTAGTTGAAGAAGAAAAAAAACCCGTCATATATTTCGCCGTGTGGAAAACCCCCATAGATGCTAGAGAAGAGGTAGGCACACATGCACACACACACACACACACGCAGACGTCTAAACTTTAAGCCTGAATAGCGCGTCCCAACGCACCGCCTGTAAACTGCTGATTCCTGCCTCCCCTTGGGCCTCCGCCTCCGCCCCTACCACCACCGCGGCCACCGCCTCCCCTACCACCACGGTTACCGCGTCCGCCTTGCCTCTCAAACGCATTCGCTGTGCCCTGTGTACGTTGCTCGAGCGTCTTCTCGTTGGACTCGATGAGGCCTGATGCCTTGTCTGACAGGCTGAGTGCCAGAGTCTGGAGTCTTGAGAGCTCGACACCCTTTCTGAAAATGATGGCCGAGTTGACCTGGTCAAGCGCCGCGGCGAGTTCCTCGTGGGAAATCATCTTGGACACGACGGCAGAGACCTTGCGCTCTGGAAGCTCAAACATACCCGCTAGTGTGGAGATGGCGAGTGTGTCGTAGAAAGGAGCATAGGTGAAGAGATATGTCCGCAGACCCTCTTCTTGGATCTGTGCAGACAACATCTCCTTGATCTTCTCCGAGTTGGCCATGAGCTCCCAGATCTTGATTGAGTTGATAAACTCAGCGGCCTTCTTCCACTCTCCAGCGGACAGCGCCTTGGATGCTTGCATGACGTGGTCGCGCGTGTTCTCAGGAGGGCCAGTAAAGATCTGGCGCTCATGGTACTCTAAGAGACGGCGGTATGTCTTGCTAATTACTCGCTTCCTTAGGTCCGGTGATGAACCAAGTTGTGCGAGCAGGGGAATCTCAAGCAACATAGAACAGGTCAGGTAGACGCACTCTAGTAGCTCAAGGTTGATGTGCATGTGGAATGGAAGCTGTCGTTGACGCTCAAGACGCTCCTGTTCGGGTGAGATTTGCGAGTAGCGTTGCATTTGCAGACCTTGTGCGAGAAGCTCCTTTTGCCTGTTGCTGCCGCAAATTTCTTGCAGTGAGGTTTGCGCCTCGTAGACCAGTCCGGCACGGAAAGCGCAGAGACCGACTTGGACGAGAGCACGGTTGAACAGAATCTGAGTGTTGACGTCAAAGTTGCTGATAGTCTCCTGCAAATGGGACATGAGCATCATGTCACGGGCCTTGTAGTACTGATCGTGAAGAGACAGGAAGTAAATCTGGCACAGCATCGCACGGGCACGGATGATGCCCTCGCTATGACGGAAGAGGTATGTGCACAGAGTCTGAACCAGCGAGGCAGTGTCGTTGGAGATGGAACGGGGCGTGATTTCCGAGTCGAGGCTGTCGGGAATAGCCTTCCATACGTTGTTCTCGAGGATGGTGATGACTTGCGAGGGCTGTAGATGTTAGCGAAATCATCGCTTGCAAGCTAAAGTAGGTACATACCTTGAAGTAGACGTGCTCCAATCTCCGCATGACAATACGGTTCAGTGGCTCTTGGGGCAGTTCTAGGCTTGGGTTCTTCTTCAACTTCTCGACATACACCAGGGTGCGCACAAGCTGAGCGTACAGGAGAGCCTCGTCGGTCAGGCGCTCAATGTACTCAGAAGTATGCGGGTCAATGTGCTGGAGGGAGCGAGTGAGCTCGTCATCAAGCCTCTCAACAAACGAAACAATGCTACCAGGGATGCGGAAGATCTCGCCTGGGGTAATGGTAGGCAGCTTCTCGTCATCCTCCCACTCCTCAGCGTTCTCAATGACAACAATCTCTTTGCTGTCCTCGAGAATCTGCAGCAGCTTGCCAAATTCTTGGTCGGCACTGGATCAATGTCAGCGGTCAAGTCATTGCAAATCACTCAAGGCACACTCACAGCTTCCACTGATCCTGATGCATGTGACTGGCAGTGCCAGATGTCAGGTCAAAGCGGGTAGAGATGAGAGTCAAAAGAACGCGAATCCTCTGGTAGTCGTTGATGGCCACGTCGAACAGCTTCTCCAGTGTCCTGATGTGCTCGAGCTTGTCCGAGTTCTTACGACCACGCTGCTCGACAATGGCGCGTAGGTGCTTGAGAATGCCCTCGGGTGTGTACAGGACAGCCTTGCCACCAGCACCGACGGTGATGAAGCCGTCGTCCGTCGCCTGGTCCACGACCTCGGGGGCAAGCTGGGGAATCTTGTTCTTCTTCTTCTTTTCCTTTGGTGCCTGCACAACCTCCTCTTCCTCCTCGCGCATAAACTCCTCCTTGTTCTCCCGGTACGCATTGATGTCCTTTTCGTAGTCACGGTTGTGCTTCTTGATCTTCTGGCGCACAGCGTTGAAACCACGACCGTTGACGGCGTTCATCTTCTTGGGCGTGACCTTTTGCTTCTCGTGCGTCTCGATGACGGCCGTCTCGAGGTCGGCAATGGCCTGGATGTACAGCTTGGGGATCTTGCCATCATTCTGCTTGATCAGGGTAGGCACCTGGCGGATGAGTTTGTCGAATTCTGTATACGTCCATGTCAGCACATCTGTCCCACTGCCCCGCCAAGACGCATATTCCACGTACGCTCAGAAATGACGGCCCAATCGTTGATCCTCTGCGCATTCTCGATAAGGCGAATCGTCGCCTCGAGTTCGTCGAAGCGCTTGTCTTTGGCGCTCTTCAGCACCTTGTTCACATCCTCGTCGTCGCTCTCGCTCTCGCTGTCAGCGTCCTTCAAGAACCTGGCGGCACCGAGATCTGAGCCAGAGTCCGAGGAGTCGTCATCATCGGAATCATCGTCCGAGTCCTGTTCGCTGTCCTCCTGCTCAGACTCCTCGTCATTGGAGTAGAGCTCCTCCTCGCTGGACTCGTCCGAGGAGCTGTCGCTGGCGGCAAAGAAGCGGGACGCCATGGTTGCTGGTCTCGAGAGTGGGAAGTTGCCCGAGGGATCGAGGGGGGGTTTTGTATGGGTGGCGGGCGCCGTGTGGGTTTACAGAGAGTCACTTTCTGCCCGCGTTGCTGCAACTTTCCAACCGAATTTCGAGCCAGCGCTAAGCCATGACTGTGTGCCCCGCGCCTAACCCAATGTGGACGCGAACCTGCCCTCTCTTACCTCAGAGACACAGGACACCAGGTATATCGCAGTCATTTGTCAGAATTGAACATTAACAGCAAAGGTTTTTTGTATTTTTAACAGTTTCCCTCTCTGGCTCTTTCCCCCCCTAGTATCGCCATCATGTATGTCATCAGAATAATTAGATCCAGCACAAAACTCGAGACTAAATATCAATACACAATAACAAGCCCGCATTCAAGGCGCACACCAAAGCAAACGCGCAGTGCTACAACAACTGGCATAGCCAAAAAAAGCGTTTTTGTCAGGGAAAGGGGGTACTGCTAGAATTACACACACTTGCCGCCGTCCACCACATCCTTCATTTCTGGTATCACCATTTCCAGGCCACCCCCACCCTCTTATTTCCTTCCGTCACACGTGGGAACCAGTCCATCCTCTGTCCAAGTAACCGTCCAGTCAAAGGCGCTACCAACTTACCACCATGGTCGAATTTTTTTTTGGTGCAATCTGTAGAAGGAGTCGCCCTGACTCACGAACGCCCATTGCGAATCCGTGTAAAGCCAGTTGAACGGGCTGAGCGTCGCAGTATGGCGCCGTATGGCTTCCTGCAAACTGGCATGGACAATGGTGCGGCCCGCGCGGTCCCTCCGAGTTATGCTTCTCGCTCCCATACCTTCATATTCTCCTACTCATACCATAGACAATGTTGCTGATCAACGAACTCTGGGGGGATGGGAAAGGGGGATATCAACAAGAAATCAAAACGCCGCATCTCCGTCCGTGTTGCACACAGCGCCTTTTCCCGTCTTTGTGTATCAGTGCAACAATCCAGTTCATCATTGCCAGTGGTTTTGGCCCACAAATCCTTCTTCGAGTGTGCGGTCTTCGAGATTGCGCACAAAGTTGTGGTTGCGGTTCGAGTTGCCAGCCCGCGATCCTCTTCGCCTGGCGCTGCTTGCGCTCTCTGGTGCGCCGTCAGGCGGAGGTGGGTAGTATGCCGGTGATGGCTGTAGGCGCACAGGCGCATTAGGGTCCAAGTGACTCATAACCCTCTGCAGCGCAGGTGGAATTCCTGACTGCCCCGACTGCTGCTGATCCATTGTCGTTGCCCTTTGTCGTCCGGCACGAGTCGTGGCCTGCGCATACAGGTTCTGAGGCTGGTTGTATTGCCGCGGCTGTTGCGGCTGCATCATGTTCATGGGCTGACCATATTGTGCTGCCTGGGAGGGATAAGGTGGCGGTGCACCTTGATGGTTGGGCGTGTACATGTTGTAGGGATTTTGCTGAGCTTGCGGGCTCTGTGCGGCAGCATATTGATTCATCTGCATGTTTGCATAAGCGGCATGTTGGGCTGCCTGCGCTTGTTGCTGTTGCGCGACCGCTTGCTGCTGCTGCTGTTGTCGCTGTCTGCTCAAGCCCTCGTATCGCTGTTGTTCCTGAACACCCGGTGCTGGGGATCGGCTTGAGCTGGATTTGAGCGTCATTGGAGGTACGAATGGCCCAGTAAACTTGGCCTGTGTGATAAACGGATGAAGCTTCGCCTGAGCGGGAGTCCAGCGTTCGAGGGGATTGAGATTTAGTAATCCCTGGGCGAAATCGATAAAGGCAGCTCGGTTGCCCATTTCTACACCACATGTTAGCACTAAAAGTTAAACATGAAATTGATGCTGCTCACCTCGCTCGATCTCGTTGGGCTTCATGTTCTTCCGCGGCATGGGGTAGTTCTTGATAATGTCTGGCAGGGTCGTGGCGGAGAAGTACTTTTTACTAGGCTGCTCCTTGGTTCCATGCTCCCTGGAATACTGCTCCATGGACTTGAGCCGGTACTGCTTGCGACCATACTCGTCCTGTGACTTTTCAAAAAACTCCCCAGACTGCTTGCCCATCTCCAACATCCAGTGTGGTGGTAGTCCAAGCATCTCTGTTATCCGCGAAACCTGATTGTATTCGGATGAACCTGGGAAAAGTGGGAGACCGAGGAACAGCTCGACGACAATGCAGCCCAGTGACCACATGTCGATTGCGGCCGAATATGGTAAACCAAGCAGAACTTCTGGCGAACGGTAAAATCGTGACTGGATGTATGTGTACACAGTTTGGCGTTCATCGCACGCGGAACCGAAATCGATAATCTTGATGATGGGGCTTTCAAGGCTGCCATGCTGTTAGATACTTCCTAAAAAAAATGTAAAGACTATTGTACGCACTTTTTCAGAAGAATGTTCTCAGGCTTCAAATCGCAATGTATGAGTTTGGCCTTTCCGAGCAGTGCCAATCCGTTAATCAACTGCTGCGCAAAGACGCGCACCAGGGTCGTCGACAGTCCGCGGAACTGGTTCTGCTTGATCAGCTCATAGAGGTTGACACTCAGCAGCTCAAAGACCAGACACAAATGTTGCCTGTGAATAAAAGTGTCTTTGAGCCTCAGCAGGTGATGGTCATCGTTCTTGTCCATCTGCTTGTTTAACTGCGTCTAATTAGCAGCTGCCAGCACTATCCTGTAAAGAAACAACCTACCAAGTCAAGTACAGAGACTTCCATCATACTCTGATTAAAGTACGCTGTCCGGTTCTTGATCACCTTGACGGCTACCACCTCTTGCGTCTTCAAGTTCTGGCACTTGACAACCTGTCCGAATGTGCCCTGCCCCAGCACGTCCAAGATCAAGTAGCGGTTCTTGTGTCCAGACTCCTCCGATCCCAAAATGTCGTTGACGTACAAGATATAGTCGCTGTCTTCGTTGTCATAACCGTCATTCTTGACTCCTTTGCTCGGCTTGGTAAGAACGCGACGAGGATTTCGCGACGATTGGTAGTTGAACCCGCCATTGCACAGCTTGTACGTCATAGGTAAATGGGCAGTAAGAGCTTGGAGGGGCTGTTTGTTCAATCATGTCAGTCAAGTTCGCTGCTCAGACATGGAGTGATACATACGCTGATGAAGCCTCCCTCTGGATTAGCGCGACGGAATGGTGGTTGGGCATTGATCTTGGGCTGCAAGTCGGCCGTGTTGGAGACTTTTTCAAACTTGGGAACCGGCCCTCGTCCAATGGGCGGCAGGTGTGGAGGGTTCGAGTTGGAATTGGAAGTTGCGCGCGGTGACCGGTTGTCTCTGTTGTACACAGCGTTCAGCTGTGCTGTCGCAGACTGCGGGTAAAAGCTCTCTTGGCCCATGTTGGACTGGATGGGAGGCAGTTGGGGCGCATGTGGGCGGGAGGCTAAAGCAAAAAGACAATCAGTATACGAGAGTGCTTAAAGAAATCAGGCTTGGGCAGGCAACGCTCGACATACATGGCGGAGAGTAGTAGCTGCTAGGCGGCGACATGTAGGGATTGTTGCGCGTAGGGCTCTGGCGGCTGACCTGTGTCTGGGCCTGGGCCTGGGACTGGGACTGAGGGGTAAAGCTGGTGTAGCTCTGACCACCCTGCTGCGGGTTGCCCGAGTAGGGCGATGTGGGGGAGAGGTTCATGGGCGAATATCTGCGCGCAGCAGCACTCTCCTCTTGCTGGATGAACTGCTGCGAGTGGCGCTGCTGCTGGGTTGAGCGTGCAGCATTGAGCCTTGGCTTGTAGGCATCCTCCATGGGCACGTCACCATCGCCGTCATTGTACTCGGGGCGGGGGCCTGCAGCACCAGCACCAGCAGCACCAGCAGCACCGCCAGCACCAGCGGGCGATTGCATGGCGATTGAGTTCTGGCGGGAGGGGGTTGCATAGGCGTCCTGCTTCATCTGCGACGACACGCTGGCATCCCGCGAGGCATGCGGGGGCGATTGCATCGTGTGCGAATATCGGGCGCTCGGGGTGTCTGAGTAGGCCGTCCACTGGGGCTCCATGACGTCGGGGCGGTGGGTGGGCGGCAGTTGGGGTTGGGCGACGGAGTCGCGGTGGGAGACGAGATTGAGCGCTTCACTGGGAGCGGAGCATGCCGATGGACGTGGAGCCTGTGAGGGAGCGGGTGGTGATGGGCCTTGGCCGTGGGCGTGGATGTCGAGGTTGACGTGGTGGTGGTGCTATGGCAAGCGGTGGTCCAGGGTACACGGCCGAGACGAGACGGGGGAGGGCGCGCCAGTCCCGTCTAGGAGGGTCGAGGGAAATAGTGCGTATGGGCGTGCAAGAGAGTGTGGGAATGAGGGAGAGGGAGAGAGATAAGTCGGGTGTGGCTGTTGCGGGGTGTGGGTGTGGGTGTACGTAGTCAGCAGCAGCGAGGATAGGCTGGAATGCTGCTGTGGCCCGGGGCAGAGAGGCCTTTGAGGAGCAAGACGAACGAGGCGCACCCAGGGCAATATTCACACAGGGTCAAAAGGATGGTTTGGCAGAGGTCAGCCGTACCCGAAGCGCTGAGGTTGGCGCCGTTGCAACCTCGATGGATTGGGCTTCTCTGCTTGGTCACGCTAGCGACGGATGCAGCCAACCTCTTCATGCCCTGCCACAGTCTCTGCCTCGTGGCGTCATGGCCGGGCTGTCTCTCTCCAGCAATACGACAGTGCTAGTGCCAGCAGCAATGTTGCGACTACCAGCTCGACTACTTACTGCTCCTGGCCTGCTAACAGCAAAAGCCACGCCGACGACGGCCTTGGGCAGCCATGCCAGTTGCCGGAACAGGTCGCCTTGTGCGCGTCACTGCGGCTGAGATTAGTACCCACCCATTCCTTCATTCCATGTGCCGCCCACCCTGCTCGAGCAAGTGCAAGGAACCATCACGACCGTAAACATGTTGCGACCCCACATGCAAACAGCATCTTTTCATAAAGCCCAGCATAACCTTCTCTGCCCAGCCCCAGAACCGCTTGTCGGCACTCAACACGCAGACAACCAAGGACCTAGTGACATCAGC